ATAAACTGAATTGCAATGTTGAAAATTTTTGTTTAAAGTTTAAAGATCTTAAGTAAGAATTACAACTAAAATCTGAATTAATTTCGAAATGCAAAAAAAAAAATTTTGAAAAAAATAAATTTTTTGAAAAACAATTTTTTTTTGAAAAAAAATAAAACATTTTTTTTTCAAAAGCAATTATTTTGTTAAAACAAGCATAAAGTTCGTCATTATAAATTGAATGTTTTTTGGATCATTCAAATCCGATGCTCCGTTGTATCAAAAACTCGATTTTTATTTTCTGCAGTCTTTGCTCTGTATCTCCGAAACGGCTGGACCTGACTTTGCCAAAAACTAATCAGCACATCTCCCTAACAATAGGAATCGAATGTTTTTCGAACAATTCAAACCCGTTGATCCGTGCACCCGAAAACGTGAACGAAAAATTGTATCCATACATACATACACACACACATACACACATCCATTTTTTTCTGAGGTATGCCAACATGTTCCAAAAACCTTCAAAACGTGAAGAAATGTAAAAATTTTCAATTTTGATTTTTGGACGACTACAATAACTTACCCTACGGGACGTTAATAATAGCAGACTAATAAATAACTAATAAATTTAAATTACAAAATTTGGTTTTCGTCTGAAAAGAAGTTTAACATTTTTATTGATAACATCGTTTTCAGTTAAAAAGTCTTAGAGTATAATTAATCATATAAAAAAATAATTCTGTTTTTTCTTACCCTCTATTAAAACTTTGTAATTTTCTAACATTTCTAATATTTTCTTATATAATCCACTGATTTATTTATAATATTTATTTATTTATATATGTATATATATATATATATATATATATATATATATATATATATATAAAGCGAAAGGTTTTTCTTCAGACGGTGAAATAATATGATAAAATTGTTTCTTGGGCACCCATCCAGTAATTAAAAAACAGTTTTATTAAAAAATGTTTTTATTCAGAGAACATACGTTTCGGGTCTTTATTTGACCCATCTTCAAATGGTTATTATGGCTATAATTAAATATTTCAGGGTTACAAATTAAAACAATATAAAAAATACATAATTGCAGACAAAAATAAATAAAACTATGTAAAAAAACATAAATCTAACCAATTTAATGAATTAGTTTTAAAAACAAATATATATTGTGAAAGAATATATGAGAAGTATATATAAAAAACAACCATAAAATAAACAAATGTAAAGAAACCTACCATACAAATAAATTTGAAAAATAACACAAAAAACACAAAATTGAACAAAAAAATAAATATGAAATAAAAAATTGATAAAACGTCGAGTTATGATAAATTTAAAAAATTGAAAATTAAAATAAATAATTTATTTTATTATAAAAAAGCTTATTCCAAACGAACATGTTGTCAGCTTGGAATATGTATTACGTGTGTGTACGTGAGTAAAATGTGTGCGTACGTGTTTGCGGAAAATAGTGGAAACTGTATCGTCATTGGATGAGAGAACGGGATAGAGAGAATTTCAGTGGTTTCATATTACGAAGATTTTCTCAGCGATCATGCGCAGTAGAAACATAGACAAAATATAAATGTGAAAACAATCCATAATCAACGGTTAAACATAATATGTGGATCAAAATGAAAATATAGAAACATAATAAAACCATGATAGACAATGTAAAAATGAAAAAATATGTGATGAAGAGAAATACTAGCACTAGGTCCTAAATTTTCTATTTCACAACAGAAAAAATCGTTTAATTTTGTCAAAACACTTAACTCTTTAGAATATAGTTTACGTAATTTAAAAGATATCAATGAAAAAAACCGCTTTAAATCTATTTTTTGCAACCATCTTAATTCGTTTTTCAAATTTGACATTTCTAACATTCATCAACATAAAGAATTACTCAAAGACATCCACTTTTGCAAATTCTTTATCAAACAATACCCAGAAATTGTTGTTGCCAGGGCAGATAAGGATAACATCACGGTTATCATGAACAAAGTTGATTAAATTTCCAAATCCATGTTCCTCCTAGCTGATGTGATCATTTACGAACCTATAAATTCAGATCCCATCGACCTTATAAATCGGAATACTTTGAAATTCATTGATTCACTCATAGAAAGCAAGCAAATTCCCAAACCTCTCTCTCTACAATTAAAAACCTACAATCCCATATTCCCAGAACTATATTGTCTTCCCAAAATCCACAAAAATGGTTTTCCTCTTTGACCAATAGTTGCCGACTTAAATTCCCCTCTTTGCAAATTATCCAAATTTATTAGTTCAATTTTATCCAATATCACTCATAATTCTCTCCATTTTGTCAAAAATTCTTTCAAACTCATTCCCAAACTTATTTCCCTCAATGTACCATCTGATTTTTCTTTTGTAAGTTTAGATGTTGTGTCCAACTTCACTAACATTTCACCTGATTTTATTCTCTCTGCCATAGACCATAAATGGGTTGAAATCAGCAAACATCATTATTTCCAATACTTATTTTTCGTTCAACGACTCCTTCTTTAAACAAAAATTTGGCACTACAATGGGTTCCAGTTTGAGTGCCCCGTTTGCTGAACTTTGTATCCAGTTTCTAGAGAACTCTACTTTTAATACCTTGTCTTATGTACCTCTTTTTTATAAACGTTACATTGACGACATTTTAACTTGCATTCCTACTTATCACATAACCAATTTCCTAAATTCTTTTAATAATTTCAACACACACCTTTGTTTTACTGTAGAGACTCAACTTAACAACTCCATTATTTTTTTAGATTTTACCCTTTTTATAAATAACGGCTCCATCACTACATGTTGGTATCAAAAATCCACTTGGTCTGGACGTTATTTAAACTACCATTTCTATCACCCCAAATCGATTAAGATTGCATCTATCATCAATTTACTAGATCATGCCATCCTCCTTTCTCATCATGCCATCCTCCTTTCTCAAATCGTTTATGTTTGTAGGTATATATGTATATGAATATATGTATGTATATGTGTATATATATGTGGTATAATAAAAATGCTTCCTTTTAATTATTAAGTTTATTTTATATGTTATTTGGTTCACGGTTCAGCAAAGAAGAGAGATTTACAGAGTTTAACATAAACAAAAACATAAAAATGGCGGATACATAGTTAGAGTAGGGCAAAGAGTGTTGCCAACGCCACTGATACTAATGGCGGTACATTTGAATTACAAATATATATAACATTACATTTGACATAAAAAAGTGTGACAAACAATTTTGTCCATGCTCCGGGGCTTGCATCCAGAGTATAATAATTAACATAACAAGATATTTGAGTGGACTGTATAACATAGACAATATATAGATAAATAATATAACAATTACTGAAAACTGAAATGAAAACATTTTTTACAAGGTATGTTAATCTAAAATGAAAATGACAATAATAATGATATAACAAACTATGCCTAATAAAACAAACCATAGTGCAACTGCAAAAAACTTAATACTAAATATATATACACAAAGAAGATAATAAAAAATTATTAAGTAACAAAAATGCAATTAATTACAAGGTAAAGGTACAATCTTTGTTATTGGACGTGTAAATGTTCCAGTAGGAGTTTTTACAATAACGACCCGAACCTTTCCATCACGTCCTGGTTTAGTTTCCAAAATTCGACCAGTAGGCCAATTCAAAGGTGGACTATTATCTACCTTAATTAGAACTATGGAGTCAATTAAAATATTGGATTGAGTCTGAAACCAGTTATGTCTCTTCTGCAAATTACTTAAATATTGTTTGGACTAAGATGTCCAAAATTGGTTCCTCATTGCTATCATTTGCTTGAACAACTTTAAGGTACCTAGCCCTGGCTGAGATTGATGAGGCTCTGAAAGTGCTGTGATTGCTTCACCTATTAAAAAATGACCCGGACTTATATATGAAAATCTGAGCTATCATCCGTGAGTGATAACAATGGTCTGGAGTTCAGAATTGCCTCGATCTGTGCCAATACAGTGAGGTATTCTTCGTACGTGAAGCAATGCGATCCTAACACCCTACGAATATAGTGTTTCATTTGTTTAATGGAACCCTCCCATAACCCTCCAAAGTGAGGTTCATAAGACGGAGTAAATTTCCATGTTATTCCTAACTGAGCTGCAGCTGTTACCAAACCTTGTCTAGTCATGTCCAACTTAAAATACCTATATAACTCTTTCAACTCGTTGTTGGCTCCTACAAAATTCTTCCCATTATCACTATGTATGATAGAACAACAATACCTACGAGAAATAAACCGTCTCAACGCAGCTAAAAAGGCATCAGTTGAGAGGTAGAAACTAATTCTATATGGATTGCCTTGGTCACCATACATACAAATAACGAAATATAGGCCTTAACTCGAGGAGCCTTCCTTAAACGACTTGATCTCAACAATATTGGACCAGCAAAATCTACCCCAACTACCTTAAATGGACGATGTTGAGTGATCCTATCTGTTGGGAGACTACCCATCAATTGACTAGCAGCAGCAGCCTTAAAACGAGCACACTTATAACAATTATGAATAATTTGCTTTAAGGCGTTACGACCATTAATTGGCCAATAATTCAACCTTACGTTTCCCAGAACGGTTTGAGTCCCTGCATGCAGCAGTCGCTCATGCTCTGACTTTAAAAACATAGGGTATGTTTTTAAACAATGAAATATGTAACTGAAAACAATCTAACTTCAACAGACTACAGACCTCCAATTTCAGCTGCCCTAGTTCCTGCTCTGACGATGCACCTGTAATTATGTCATCGACATAACAGTCCCTATCTAAAGTCTGCGAAGCTAGTGGATACTTGACAGAATTTACTTCTGACAACATGTTTTTTTGGTAAAATGATGGGGTGTTTTTGGTTAAAAGAAATGTTTGCATGTTCCAATCTCCCACCTACACGCAACACACCATCAGCATCCCTAAATGAATTTAACGATTTCAACTTATGAATTGAGACCTTATCTGTTTATAAATCTTCATCATTAGTAATAGAGAATGTTTCTAACTGGACCAAATAAAATATCCTAAGAGTTGCAAACTGAATCTCAAAAGCTGGCAACGGATCACCAAGAGGAACAGTTCTGCGCTTTTTCCTCCATCTGAGACAATATGCGACAATCCTAACAAGCTTGCTAAACTTGGATACCCTATCTGACAAAGACTTTAGAACAATACCAATGTCATCATCATCCTCAGTATTCGAAACAGCACAAAGTACCCGTGTTTCCGGCAGCTTATCTTTTGGTGGATCACAAAACCTATTCGGCCAATTTTCTCTGGTGCTACAAAGCCAAGATGGCCCGTGCCACCACAGATCACAGCTCAACAAATCACTAGCAATTCTAACACCTCTTGACACAATGTCTGCAGGGTTATCTTTGCTAGATACATGCTTCCACATAACTGCTGGAGTTAATTCTAAAATTTGCGACACTCTATTAGAAACAAACATTTTCAACTGTGAGGGTTCTGTGCGCAGCCACGCAAGAACAATACTAGAATCACTCCACAGAAATGATTCGTTAATCTTCACAACACCATTAGCCATAACACGCCTATATAATTTTGCCAATAAAAACGCAGCTAACAATTCTAAGCGAGGAAGTGTCACCTGTTTTAACGGAGCAACCTTAGATTTGGAACATATTAGATGGCAGGAAATACTACCATCTTCATATGTCGCCCGTAAATAGACACAAGCTCCATAAGCCAGTAATGAAGCATCCGCAAAACCGTGACACTGTATGCTTACAGGAACCTGTTTGAAAAAACAACGCGGAACAGACAAGCCTTCCAAACACGAAAGATGATGTCTGAAATCATTCCAGCTATCCTGTAATTCATCTGGCAGAGCGTCTTCCCAATCTAAATTGCATTTCCATAATTCCTGCATTATCAATTTCGCTGTTATGGTAATCGGTGATATGAGTCCAATAGGATCATATATCCTAGCTATGGTAGAAAGTACATATCTTTTAGTGTCTGTAGAAGTGATAAAAAGATTGGAATAAGATATTTTGAAAATATCCTCAACTGGATTCCATGATAAACCTAATGTTTTTACCGTATTATTTTGTTCAGAAAAATCTGTGGCAGACAAATTTTGTTAACAACGAAAGACTGTTGCTAACAATGAAAGACTGTTACTTGACCACTTGTGTAACTGAAAACAACCTAACTTCAACAGACTACAGACCTCCAATTTCAGCTGCCCTAGTTCCTGCTCTGACGATGCACCTGTAATTATGTCATCGACATAACTGTCCCTATCTAAAGTTTGCGAAGCTAGTGGATACTTGACAAAATTTACTTCTGACAACATCTTTAGACAACGCATGGCCAAGTATGGTGCACATGAAGTGCCATATGTAACGGTGTTTAACTTATAAATATCAAGCCTTTTCTGAGGAGAATCTCTCCAAATAATTAATTGTAAATTAGCATCTGCATCCCTAACCTTAATTTGCCTATACATCTTAACAATGTCAGCGACAAAAACATACAAGTGACACCTGATGCGAATCAAAATCGAAAACAAATCTTGTTGTAGTTTTGGACCTGTATGCATGACATTATTAAGTGACAAACCTGTGGAAGTTTTGCAAGAAGCATCAAAAACAACACGAATTTTATTAACATTGCCATCCTTAAAAACCGGTAAAAAATAATACTTATTATCAAAATCCTCTCCTGTAAGAGATGTAAGTTCGGCATGACCTAACTTTGCGTACTCATTAATAAAATTGGAGTAAGCTAAATTTAAGTCCTTATTTTTTACCAACCTACGTTCCAAATTCAAAAAACGAGTCCTTGCCTGTGTGAAAGAATTTCCTAACTGATATTTCTTACCATCAATAAATGGTAAAGCAACTTCAAATTGGCCATTTCCTAAACGATGTACATTTGAAACAAAGTGTTCCTCACAAGCCTTATCTGAACCCGTAAGAGAATTGCTCAACGAGACCTCCTCTACCTGCCAAAACCTAGCTAACTCTTCATGGAGATCTTCGTTAGAGACAAACCCTACATACGACTCAGAACCAGCATCCCCTGAATAAACACCAGACAATAACCAACCGAAGCGACTGTTCCTCAAAATTGGTAAATTCTTCCCTAAGCGGATACAACCCTGTTGCAGGATGTCAAAATATAGCTCAGCGTCATCAACAAGTCTATTGGACCTGGAGTATTAAAATCTGGATCAGCTAATTGGACATGATCCGGGATTTTCCAGTGAGAATAATCAATAGATGAAGAAGGAAGATGTTGAGTTATATTATCATTAATAACACAATATAACTTGTGTTCAAAAGAAGTTAATTTAGATTTAATTTTAATCTTCACAGACTTATTACAAGTCATACTCTGCCCTTGTAAAACACTTATATTATAAAGTGAAGAATTAATTGGAAGCTGGAGACGCGAAGCCAGCGATTTAGTAATTAAATTTATTTGTGAGCCACTATCTAAAAGTGCACGCACGGAATGTCTTTTGCCATTTGCATCAAAAATAATTAAGGAAACAGTAGAAAGCAGAGTTTGAGGATTTGAATGCGTCATAAGAATATTACTATTGTTGATGGGGGAAACCTTTTCCTCGTGCAACAAAGAATTATGTGATTCCTTGCATATAGAGCAAGGATACTTATATTTGCACTTTGAAATGCCACGTCGCGAAGCTATACAGCGTACACAAAATAAATGCTTAGAGACTAGTTCCTTTCGCTTCTGTTCGACATCCAAAGCTTTGAAATCAGCACATTGGAATAGGGCATGCTCTCTCTTGCAACAGATGCAAGGTTGAGAAGCCTTCTTCACAATTGTGTTGACTGTCTTAGCTGAAGGCCCTTTGCAATCAGAACTAGAATTCTCTAAAACTACTACCCTCATTTCAATAAAATTAAAGAAACTATTCAAAGTTGGTAGTTCTGCTGACGCTTGAGACAAATTCCACGCAACTCTAGTGTTGTTATCCAACTTTTTCGACAACATGAACAAAAGAACGACATCCCAATACTTAACTGGTTCAAATAATGCAGTCAAAGCCTGAACTTGCTGCCTTGCATTATTTAAGAATGCTCTCAAATTTTCAAACGAACCCTTACTAATGGAGGAAATTTTATCGATTGAGTTTAAGTGAGCATTAATAATTAAAAATTTATTGTCATATGTTTTTAAAATAAGATTATAGGCTACAGTGTAATTTTCATTAGATAATTTTGAAGAGGAAATAATATTGGAAGCTGAACCTGTGAGAGCACCCTTTAAATAATGCAACTTCTGCACGTCAGACAATTTAGTATTTGTGTGAATCAGTGAGTTGTACAGGTCAATAAACGCTGTCCACTCACTAAATTCACCACTAAATGTGGGCAACACTATGTCAGGCAACTTAACATCAACTGAACTATTAGAGACCCTAATCGAATTCTTAGGAATATCCCTACTTTCAATCAAATATCATCCATCAAAGTAAAATATAATTCGGAATATTCTAAAAATACCTTAGTGTACTCCCCTGGTTTCAACCTATTCACCTCAATATAATTTGTTTCCCACTCATGTGATCGCTCAACCAACTTTTGCTTCCGTACACTTAACAGATTGATCTTATCATCCTCACGGAATCCTGCCACAAACTCTCTAATGGTATCAAAAGATGTCTTAATAATTTCGTGAACAGCTTCCAGAGTCTCGATGTCAGCCATTTTAAAGTTGTTCAAACAAATCTACAAATACAAAATAATGAGAAAACCACAATAACAATGAAATCTTAACTAGCTCTATAATAACATACGATAAATGTTAAACTGATATACAGTGTGAAAGAGAAAAGAAAAGTATATGATAATACTATAAAAATATATAAACAGCTACTAGAAAATTTAAAGGATCTATCTGTACATAACACAGATGGACTAAAATATAATATAAAACAATGTTGTGGTATTTAATATAAAAATAAATCTTCTAATCAGTTTGAAAATAAATACTTCACAGAGAACAACGCTAGGTGATCTCAAATATAACCAAAATCCCACGTGGTCTGCAAGCGATGAAGTCCTTCTTTGTCCTTGGCGTACTTATGGAAAATACCAGAGTAATCGAAGCTGGATGTAATGCAGCCTCGTACAAATTGTCTGCCTCGTACAAACCGTCTTCCTCGAACAAACCGACCGCTTCTAGATTTTGTGCCCCTCGCCACTTAGAAATCGACGTACTGCGACACGACTAACCTCAAAAAATTCCTCGAACGGCAAACTCCACAAACGACGTAGAAATCAAATACCTTTGCAGTCTCAGAGGTTCTGGTAGCCTTTGTGATCGCAGCTTCGCTTTTACAATTACCGAAGAATTGTAAAGCCACGTGTATTTCCGAAAAAAATGCGAACACAAAAAAACGTGTGTTTGTTTATATAGGTTAAACACACATAAACTAATAAGGAAAAGCACTGGTATCAATATATGTTACCCGGTGAGACGGACCAAAATATGGTATAATAAAAATGCTTCCTTTTAATTATTAAGTTTATTTTATATGTTATTTGGTTCACGGTTCAGCAAAGAAGAGAGATTTACAGAGTTTAACACGAGGTATTCTAATATTGTCTAGGGAGTTTAACATAAACCAAAACATAAAAATGGCGGATACATAGTTAGAGTAAGGCAAAGAGTGTTGCCAACGCCACTGATACTAATGGCGGTACATTTGAATTACTAATTATTTGAATTATTTTCGTCTGAAAAGAAGTTTAACATTTTTATTGATAACATCGTTTTTAGTTAAAAAGTCTTAGTGTATAATTAATCATATAAGAAAATAATTCTGTTTTTTCTTACCCTCTATTAAAACTTTGTAATTTTCTAACATTTCTAATATTTTCATATATAATCCACTGTTTTATTTATATTATTTATTTATTATATATATATATATATATATATATATATATATATATATATATATTGATATTGTTAACTTCCCGTAGGGTAAGTTATTGTAATGGGCCGAAAATCGGAATTGAAAATTTTTACATTTCTCGACGTTTTGAAGGTTTCTGAACGTTTTGGCATACCTCAGAAAAAATGGATGTGTGTGTGTGTGTGTGTGTGTGTGTGTGTGTGTGTGTATGTATGTGTGGATACAAATTTCCAGTCACGTTTTAGGGCGCACGGATCAACCGATTTGAATGGTTCAAAAAACATTCGATTCCTATTGATTGGGAAAAGAGCTGATTAGTTTTTGGCAAAGGCAGGTCCAGCCGTTTCGGAGATACGGAGCAAAGAGTGCAGAAAATAGAAATCGAATTTTTGAGCGAACGGAGTATCCGATTTGAATGATCTAAAAAATATTCAATTAGTAATGATTGGGAGAAGTGTTTATTAGTTTTTGGCAGAGGCAGGCCCAGCCATTTCGAAGATACGGAGCTAAATATGTAAAAAATGGCAGTTTTTGAGAGAACAAAATAATTGATTTTGGAATTTTTTTTTTTTTTTTTTTTTTTTTTTTTTTTTTTTTTTTTTTTTTTTTTTTTTTTTTTTTTTTAGTATTTTGTATATCGAAAATATTTCAGATTTTATTTTTAATTCTGACTATAGTTCTAATATACTTTAGAAATAATTTCAACTCTGCAATTCGGTTTATATAATTCTTATAAATATTAGACAATGTTACAATATTTATAATAATCTATTTGAAAACATTCAATATTCCTCGAACATTTCGTTCCATAATTGCCTCAAGACAGAATTCCACTTACAGCTAGTTTGTTTCGACTTTGAAACATTATATGATACAGTTTTGCAGCCACAAGTCGAAAAATAAAATAAGAACGTAAATATAATTGTTTTATTTTTCGACTTGTGGCTGCAAAACTGTATCATATATATATATATATATATATATATATATATAAAGCGAAAGGTTTTTCTTCAGACGGGGAAATATTATGATAAAATTGTTTCTTGGGCACCCAACCAGTAATTAAAAAACAGTTTCATTAAAAAATGTTTTTATTCAGAGATCATACGTTTCGGGTCTTTATTTGACCCATCTTCAAATGGTTATTATGGCTACAATTAAATATTTCAGGGTTACAAATTAAAACAATATAAAAAATACATAATTGCAGACAAAAATAAATAAAACTATGTAAAGAAACATAAATCTAACCAATTTAATGAATTAGTTTTAAAAACAAATATATATTGTGAAAGAATATATGAGAAGTATATATAAAAAACAACCATAAAATAAACAAATGTAAAGAAACCTACCATACAAATAAATTTGAAAAATAACACAAAAAACACAAAATTGAACAAAAAAATAAATATGAAATAAAAAATTGATAAAACGTCGAGTTATGATAAATTTAAAAAAATGTAAAATTAAAATAAATAATATATTTTATTATAAAAAAGCTTATTCCAAACGAACATGTTGTCAGCTTGGAATATGTATTACGTGTGTGTACGTGAGTAAAATGTGTGCGTACGTGTTTGCGGAAAATAGTGGAAACTGTATCGTCATTGGATGAGAGAACGGGATAGAGAGAATTTCAGTGGTTTCATATTACGAAGATTTTCTCAGCAATCATGCGCAGTAGAAACATAGACAAAATATAAATGTGAAAACAATCCATAATCAACGGTTAAACATAATATGTGGATCAAAATGAAAATATAGAAACATAATAAAACCATGATAGACAATGTAAAAATGAAAAAATATGTGATGAAGAGAAATACTAGCACTAGGTCCTAAATTTTCCATTTCACAACAGAAAAAATCGTTTAATTTTGTCAAAACACTTAACTCTTTAGAATATAGTTTACGTAATTTAAAAGATATCAATGAAAAAAACCGCTTTAAATCTATTTTTTGCAACCATCTTAATTCGTTTTTCAAATTTGACATTTCTAACATTCATCAACATAAAGAATTACTCAAAGACATCCACTTTTGCAAATTCTTTATCAAACAACACCCAGAAATTGTTGTTGCCAGGGCAGATAAGGATAACATCACGGTTATCATGAACAAAGTTGATTATATTTCTAAATCCATGTTCCTCCTAGCTGATGTGATCATTTACGAACCTATAAATTCAGATCCCATCGACCTCATAAATCGGAATACTTTGAAATTCATTGATTCACTCATAGAAAGCAAGCAAATTCCCAAACCTCTCTCTCTACAATTAAAAACCTACAATCCCATTTTCCCAGAACTATATTGTCTTCCCAGAATCCACAAAGATGGTTTTCCTCTTTGACCAATAGTTGCTGACTTAAATTCCCCTCTTTGCAAATTATCCAAATTTATTAGTTCAATTTTATCTAATATCACTCATAATTCTCTCCATTTTGTCAAAAATTCTTTCAAACTCATTCCCAAACTTATTTCCCTCAATGTACCATCTGATTTTTCTTTTGTAAGTTTAGATGTTGTTTCCATCTTCACTAACATTTCACCTGATTTTATTCTCTCTGCCATAGACCATAAATGGGTTGATATCAGCAAACACACAGATTTCAATTTTTCTTGGTTCTTAAAATGTATTAAATTCATTATTTCCAATACTTATTTTTCGTTCAACGACTCCTTCTTTAAACAAAAATTTGGCACTACAATGGGTTCCAGTTTGAGTGCCCCACTTGCTGAACTTTGTATGCAGTTTCTAGAGAACTCTACTCTTAATACATTGTCTTATGTACATCTTTTTTATAAACGTTACGTTGACGATATTTTAACTTGCATTCATACTTATCACATAACCAATTTCCTAAATTCTTTTGATAATTTCAACACACACCTTTGTTTTACTGTAGAGACTCAACTTAAAACTCCATTAATTTTTTAGATATTACCCTTTTTATAAATAACGGCTCCATCACTACATGTTGGTATCAAAAATCCACTTGGTCTGGACGTTATTTAAACTACCATTTCTATCACCCCAAATCGACTAAGATTGCATCTATCATCAATTTACTAGATCATGCCATCCTCCTTTCTCATCATGTCGTCCTCCTTTCTCAAACCGTTTATGTTTGTAGGTATATATGTATATGAATATATGTATGTATATGTGTATATATATGTGGTATAATAAAAATGCTTCCTTTTAATTATTAAGTTTATTTTATATGTTATTTGGTTCACGGTTCAGCAAAGAAGAGAGATTTACAGAGTTTAACATAAACAAAAACATAAAAATGGCGGAAACATAGTTAGAGTAGGGCAAAGAGTGTTGCCAACGCCACTGATACTAATGGCGGTACATTTGAATTACAAATATATATAACATTACATTTGACATAAAAAAGTGTGACAAACAATTTTGTCCATGCTCCGGGGCGATGCTTGCATCCAGAGTATAATAATTAACATAACAAAATATTTGAGTGGACTGTATAACATAGACAATATATAGATAAATAATATAACAATTACTGAAAACTGAAATGAAAACATTTCTTACAAGGTATGTTAATCTAAAACGAAAATGACAATAATAATGATATAACAAACTATGCCTAATAAAACAAACCATAGTGCAACTGCAAAAAACTTAATACTAAATATATACACAAGGAAGATAATAAAAAATTATTAAGTAACAAAAATGCAATTAATTACAAGGTAAAGGTACAATCTTTGTTATTGGACGTGTAAATGTTCCAGTAGGAGTTTTTACAATAA